TGTGGCAGTGCCTGTGCTATCTGCAGAAGAGAACGGGAACGATAAGAGATTGGGCGACATCTGTTGAACCACGCGTGTGGTAATGTGTTAGGCAGCCTCTGCTTTGAAAATTCTTATCTTTTTTAATCGCTTTGGAATGGGTAGACGCATTACAGGATGTTTATATCATCGAAAATTTTTTGTTGGTTTAAGTGTTTTCGGGACTAATGAAGAATGCTTAGAAGAAGAAAAAAGGTTGGACTGTTGCACGGTAAATCGATGGAGTCATGGTTTTGAATCTGTAAAATAATTGAAACATTATCTGCACTTTGAAAACGTTTTCAGTGCGGGGTATTGAGGAGGGCTTATCAAAAGAAGAGACGACTAAGGCATTTACTTTGTATGGTAAGGGAGTAGGCTACGGGTTCCTTGTTGATGACAGGATAGGCGGGAAACGTACGCTTAAACTTGATGAAAGGAGTAAAAAGAAAATGGCCATTTTTTGAAGCCACGTCTTCAATTAGATACATTAAAGTTTATTCCTTTCAAAATAATTAGAGTGAGGACTGTTATTGTTATCACTGATAAGTTGTTTTTCTGAAATTAAATTAAGTTCATCAAAAGAGTGTTTTGCATAATCCTACAGCAGTTACTTAGGGAGTTGAGTGCATTATGTAGGAGAATTGCTTTTAATAGAAAGTAGTAGCAAGAGTATTTGAGTACTTGTTACTTCAGTGTTAATTTTCTACACTTTTAGCTTGGGTTAATTTTAATAAAACTTACTTTCCACAGTGTACTTGTCTCAAGCGTGCCACTTAGCTGTAAACCATTCTTTAACTTTTGACACTGTTTTGAGTCAAAAATAATTTCTTCTTTGAAAATTTGTTTCTGAATGGATCTTTTTTCTCTCTTTTTTCAGATCGTGAATATGAGCAGCCAAGTAACCACCTATGATTATTTGGTTATTGGAGGTGGGTCCGGCGGAATTGCCAGTGCACGTCGAGCTCGTGAATTTGGCGTATCTGTGGGATTAATCGAGTCTAAACGGCTTGGCGGCACATGTGTTTGTTTTTTTCTTACTGTGTTTTGTTCTAAACTAAAATCATTAATATTGACCGTAATGTTGGAAACAATTTTAGGTCAATGTAGGCTGTGTACCGAAAAAGGTGATGTATAATTGTTCTTTACACGCAGAATTCATTAGAGATCATGCGGACTATGGTTACGACGTTACCTATAATGGCTTTAACTGGAAGTTGGTTTTCATCTTTTTGTTTACTTCTTACATACTTGCTTTTACGTGAAAAACTTCTTCATTCGCTTATCCAGTAAGTTATTTTCATATGTATAAATTTTGAAAAGTTAACATCATTTGATTTTTAAAGCTTTTCAAATTCAATATATCATATTTTCGGAACTTTTGCACAATTTCTTCTGCAAAACTGAGTCTTTTATCTTTTCAGAACCATAAAGGAAAGGCGAGATGCATACGTTAGGAGGTTAAATTCTATCTACAAAACCAATTTGGAACAGGTAAAGTAAAAGTGGTTTAACTCAAACATATCAAGAAATAAAATTCCTAATTTTTAATGAACTTCATTTTTTTGCACCATAGAAATGTTGGTAACGTTTCTTTAATTAGTCAAAGGTCGATTTAATCGTTGGCAAGGGTGCATTCCAAAAGGGTGGAAACGTTGAAGTCAATGGGAAACTTTACAAAGGAAAGCACACCTTAATCGCTGTTGGTGGGTTAGTCTTAATTTCTCTTCCTGGGTTTTTTCTTTAATTACTGTAGTCCTGTTTTTTAAAAAGTATATTATCCTTTCATGAAAGTACTAATTTTATATTTTACTTAAGCGTTTCTCAGCATTTTAGGTGTTGTGATCATGCGATTTCCTAAATAATTTAGGTATCCATTAATCCCTCTTGACATTCCTGGAGCTGAGTTTGGCATCGATAGCGATGGGTTTTTTGAATTGGATCATTTACCTAAGTTAGTGCTATGTTAAAAACAGAATACTTGCTGGGTATTTGGAGCATTTTGTTCATACGATCTTTTTTTTTTTCATTTAGGAGCACTGTAATTGTTGGAGCTGGTTATATAGCTGTGGAGTTGGCTGGTATGTTAGGTAACTTAGGTTCCGAAACTCATTTACTGATCAGGAAAGATAATGTCCTTAGAACTTTTGACCAAACTTTGTCTCACGCTTTAACGGAAGCTATTGATGCTGGTCCTGTCCACCTTCATCGGAGAACGGAGGTTACTGCTTTTTTTAACAAGGAGTTATGTTAACTGTTTATACGCTTTTGTACTAGCAGTTGTTTGAAGTAGTCGAGATACAACTCATGATTTTTTCTGCTGGGACTTTCACATCATTTAGTTGGATTAATATGAGGTATTGGTGGAGAAACCTGATGTTAATTTATAAAAAGATTTATTTTGTTCCCTACTGAAGTTTGGGAACGTTACTGTTTAAGGTTACCAGTGTTGAAAAACAGGCGGACGGATTGCTAACTGTTAAAGCAGGCAAAACAATATTGCGAGACATAGAGGTCCTTATATGGGCTATCGGAAGGAACCCGCAAACGGATAAATTGAATCTTGATGTAGTGGTAAGGGATAGAGCGCACTTTATCCTAAAGATATTTTGTTATATAGCATTTTTTTGAAATGCCAAGATGGCAGCAGATTTGCTTAGGGTGTAAAAACTGACGAGAAAGGATATATCGAAGTGGACGACTTTCAAAATACAAGTGTTAGTGGCATTTATGCTGTTGGTGATGTTTGTGGAAAATTCTTGTTAACTCCAGGTGAAATTTTTTGAACTGATATAAATGGTTATCCG